GGCACTCAGGCATTTTTACCACTGTGGCAGTGTACCAGAGGCCCGAAGCTCCCAGCGTGTTAACGATCATAGCTTTGCCTTTAAGGGACAGGGTCCTAGTGCGCCAGATGTTAAGGCGGGTTTCGAGTTTTGCAACCCGATCCGCCCAGTTAGCCTGGTCCAGATTAGTGTTACCAAGATAGACTCCGAGGATTTTAAGCTTATCGGCCACCCAGGTGATGTTAACGGGGCCAGTTGTTCTACCGGCTTGGGAGCCTATCCATAAGCCCTCGGTCTTCTTGGGGTTAAGCCTCGAGCCAGAGCCTCGCTCGAAGGTGTTAATTAATTTAAAAGCGCGGGTGACAGCGTAATCGTTAGCCAGAATTAAAGTCGTGTCATCAGCGTACTGAGACACTCCTGTAGGAGATAGATGTCGAATTGCTTTTGTTGAAGGGCGTTAAAAACTTTTTCCCGTTTTGGAAATTCGGCGATGCCATTTACGTTAAGCGTACAAATGGACACCGCCATAAAAGACAGAATGAGGAAAAAAATTAACTTAGCCATGAGGGTTAAACTTCAAGGAAAAGTTTGTAGGCGGTTTGCGCCTCTTTGAAAAGTTCTAATAGCATATCGAAAGCGTCTTAGCGGACAGTGCCGTTTAGTTTGGCCCAAATGTCTTGAGTAGTGGACGAAAGCTTGAGCTGGCGGCTTTTTTGTTTACTAAAGTCGCCGTATTGGTGGTGGCAGTAATGTCCCTGGCACTTGTAGAAAAACGGGCCTGGGGCATTTTTTTGTGAAAGTTGTGCGGTGTAGACCTGGCTGGTGAAGGGCTTCCAAAAAGTGCTTCAGTCCTCTGTTCGGGGGCGGTTGAGGAGGGGATGAATCACTGGGGGTTTCTGTACTGGTGGCCGTTGCATCTGGCTCGCTTTCCCCACACTGGGATTCTGGGTCAGAGGTTGAAGCAAAATGTTTTGCTGGTACGCTCTCCTCTCGCTGCTGACCTGGGGAGCTTCTCGTTTGCGTCCCGAAGCCGGGGGCGAAGGGGTGAGATCCATGCAGGAGTTTTGACTGGCAGCGGCTTCGGCGTAGGTTGATGGGGAGAAAAGCTCTTCGCTGTTGGCCGCCCAGTCGCTTGTAGCAGCGTTGTTATCCATATCGGCTTCGGCCGCGGGGTCTGGGTCAAATTCACCAGCCGGGGCTGGGGTCGGTTGTGGGGCAAGGGGTGGCCGGCGGCGTTTAGGACAATTTCTCACCACGTGCTCGGTTGAGTGACAGTGATAGCACGTGTTGGGTTGACCTGTATATTTGAACCCGATATTAACGCCACCGACCACGAGGCGTTTAGGAATATCTCTCTCGATTGCGGTAAACTCGGCGACCCTGATGCCATTTTCAATATGCGTATAACCAGCCTCCGGATAGTGTAGGCGGCGTAGGTTAGCGGATTTTAATTCCCCATAGGTGGAGAGGAGCTTGACCAGTTCCTCGTCCGGGAATTCCACGGAGACGAACACAGACACATTAATTGAGCGTTTGCCTAGCAAACGGAGGGGTTTTCGCACGTCGCCGTAGTCAAAACTGGCGTTTGCGAGTTCAGCAGCTTTTTCAGCTGATTCTAAGGTGATATCGAAGCATTTGCCTCCGAATTGTGGCACAATTCCGCGTATGTGTTTAGCGAAGTCTGGCAGGGACTTGGCAATATTCAATGAGTCCAGTTCCATAGAATCTTCCATTACAAGGCGAACAGTACGCCGGTGAGCGAACAAAGGCCGTGGTCGGCTGAGCGCCATTCCGCGGTGTCTACAGTGTAGCCACAAAAACCACAGAAATCAGATCTGTCGTACTCACTACCTCTATGATCTTAGAAGGCTTGAAACGCGTGTAAAAACTTGTAGAGAAAAAGCCTGTGAATAAAACTTGACTAACGAACAAAAAAAGGACTATTCTGGCTTGCGGCTAAGACACTTGATCTTAGCCAAAAGGCCGAGAAGCGATCTACTTAACCGACTTTGCACTGTTTCGGCCTTCTGGGCCTCATCAGTGCAGTGCTGATGCCAGGATGGGGGAGAACAGATATGGATCTCCAAACGATCCCACACTTGTGGTTCGTCTAAGGTCAGAGTGCTCAAACTAGAAGAGCCTAGTGAGCTATGCACAATGCTAGCGGCGATGACCCATCCCACGGTGCTCAATTTGGACATGAAAGCAGAGCTTTGTATGCCAAAGAGCTATATCTATATATACAAGTATAAAAAAAGAGATATCTGAGCAATTAGGCCAGTTTATACAGAATTCTAGATTCCTTATTTTAAATAAACTGCCTGTGATAAAATACAAAGAAAAAAATTAAAAACTAACATAGACAAATAGCAACAGGTCGTTAGATATTCTACATGTCGTTAGATATTCTAATGTGGAGCTATATGCTGATGATACGCCACTTTGACTTTGCTATTGGCGATGTTAGCATCATTGAGTCCAATCTGTCATCTGATTTAGATAGTTACTCAGTGGCCTCGTGCTAATTACCTAATACTCAACTCTACCAAATCTAAAATAATGCTTGTGGATCAAAGCCTTGCCTCTCAGTCGTTCTCCATATGATCTAACGGCTGTGACTTAGAGAGATTAGAAAAGTTTAAATATGTAGGGGTTTTTATCGATCCAACACTTTCTTGGAAGTCCCACATAAATTACTTGGGAAAGAAGTTCTCGTCTAGATTAGGAATGTTGCGTAGAGCACGAAAGATCTTGCCTCAGTCATCCCGTATCATTTTGTACAACGCAATGATACTCCCCCTTTTTTACTATTGCTCAGTTGTATGGGATCGTTGTGGGGCTGTATTTAAAGGGTACCTTGATAAGCTTAATAGGCGTGCGGCGAGTATCATCTTAAATAGGGCCGTGAGTGAAACGGATATTGTTCGTATTCTTGGTTGGCCTAGCCTTCAGTCTCGTAGAGACTATCTTAACTGCATGTTGGTCTTCAAATCCATGAGCGGCTAAGGACCTTGCTACTTATTAAGTGATTTTACTCAAGCTAAGAAATATTATACATATAATACCAGACATAGGTATTTGATTCGTCTTCCTTTGGCCAAAAGCACTAAATATTAAGGCAGTTTTAGATATAATGGTGGGTGCACTTTTAATAATCTGCCCAAAGCAATAAAATTGCTGGAAAGCCTTGAAACTTTTAAAACTGAGTGTAAGCGGTTCTTTTAAACAGATCTAATTAGTTGCGTAGACTTTGTATATATTTTGTTCAATTGAGTTTTACTTTTTGTCCATCAATTTTGTGTAAACTTTGTACTGGCAAATTTTTTTTCGCAGGGCTCTCTTTAAAACTAGCTATGCTAAATGTGATGTTCCTGTTTAAATATTGATTAAATAAATATTTGTACTCCAGAAATATCCGCGAAATTCGCCCGCACTGAAATAACAATTTGGCGTGTTGGATAATAAATCTCCTATTAAACGTTTTGTTGTGTATTATCGCCGAGTATTTTTACTCGTTGTTTGTATTTTAACTCGCCTTACGGGCTCGTCAAAATACGGCACAACTCGTAAAAATACTCAGCGATAATACACAACAAAACGTCTAATTAACAATTATTCCACGAGTGCGCGTTGGATATGAGATCATAGATAGCCAACGAGGCGCGTAGCGCCGAGTTGGCTATAATTATCTCATATCCAACAAGCGCGAGTGGAATAATTGTTTTATTAAAAAAAAACGCCCCCAAGATATTAGACAAATCTCGACTTTATTTTGTAAGAAGAAACCGGATGTTACAATGTACAGATATTAGATTATGGTATATTGGCTCATATATCATAATGGCTAAGCCAATAAAAAGTCTTGAATTGCATTATCCAATGATTCAGTTTTTAATAATAAGATCTTAAATTAATCAAATTGATAACAGTCTGTATTATATCATACATTCCCCCGAGATTACCAAAATCGGTCGACTGCCATTTCTTAATCACGATTATGAAAAACTGGATCATTGAATAATGCAATTCAAGACTTTTTATTGGCTTAGCCATTATGGTATATGAGCCAATATACCATAATCTACAAACATGGTAAGCGTACGCGTTAGCTTAAAATCAAAAGGGAGCTAAAAAATCCGGTTTCTTCTTACAAAATAATCATTTCTTGGGGGCGTTTTTAATAAAACAATTATTCCACTCGCACTTGTCGGATATGAGATCTATCATCTCATATCCAACGCGCGCTCGTGGAATAATTGTTAAATATGATTACAAGCAGAACTGGACGACACGAGGACCTCAAAACTACGACAAAATTTGAGAAAGAAACTAGGCATCAGTCATACGTTTTCATAAAAGAATTTCAACAACAATAAATGCGCGACAACAGCGTGCGGTAATGACGCGTACTGACGTGTCAACTGTCTCATTACCCTGTCCAATACAAGCATGACGCGTACACTTTCCGATTAGTTCTCAAATCTGGCTGGTGATAACCAATCACATTCGAGAGTTTTATAACTTTGATTATACTGGAAATAATACAGAAATGAAGAAATAATATTTAGAGACATTAAATGATATACTAGAAAGGCAAAATGAAAATGAAAGGGTTCATCGTTGACGAGAAAAAGCCCCTAAGTTTCAAGTGTACTAAAAAGATTGTAGAACTGGTTGAACTTGTTTCAATTTTCCATCGTTTGAAGTTTAGCATTATCTTATATCAGGCTCAATATAAGAACCTTCAGTCTCTAGAATACCGAGAACTCTTTTACAAACTCTAATATTCATCAAGTAGCTCATTTCAGTTCACCAACACGTGAAATGGCCTTTCTTTGCATTTGAAGCCTAGAGTACTTAACGCTAAAGAGTTGTGACGTTGATGAGCGAGTAGTAAGGGTATGGATGTTTGACGTTCTTGTATAAAGTTTTATGATGTTAGAGGGTGCACTGCCGTCATGACCATAAAGCAATTAATTACAGCATTACATGCAGCTTCATAATGTAAGAAGGTAATACGTAGAATTGTGCATTTACAAATAAGGGGATAGCATGTTCTTTTCTGTTAATAGAATAGATCCCGTAATACTCGCTTTTAGAGAACACCATTTGGTTTACTAGACATTTCTTAGACGCATTGCCGGAGTGCCTTCTGTATTCTTCGTGCTCGGAGTTCGGGAAAACCACGACTTGAAGTCACAATGACTCCCACTTTCGGTGCAAAAGTTATCGCATGGTCTATCATAAGTCTTAGTTAGTCGTTCTCTTTGCAGCTGTTTTTAAGCTGTTTCTTTTTCGAGTTAACCGCATGACCACTCATGGCATGATTTGCGCTCTACAGCATGACCCTTTTTAAGGAGCTTTTAAATCGTTTTCCGCTAATAACTTTCGATTTGCCCGACCATCTGACCTGACAATGGGGTTTTAATCCATGCTGGGAGCATCTACGCACAAAATATTTGGCATTAGTAATTTTTCCTTTCAATTTCTCACTGATTTAAGTGAGAAAAACAAGTCCTGCGCCATCAAGCGCGAGTCACCATAGTCGCAAAACTTGTCGCGTCTCTTTCCATGCGTCGTGTCTCGGTAGAGTAAACCTTTTCCCTCATCCCTACCCAGTTCAGCTTAAAAGTTCAATTCCGCTCCGCGTTTTCCGGGATTTTAGAAAGGTTGACTCATTCTTTAGCCCAACTTGGCAGGTCTGTCTTAAATTCCCAGTCTGGTCCCTAAAATAAACAACACTGCAAAGGTAAGAAGAGCAACATTACAGTAGCGATTTTCAGCAGTAAAACGAACATCCCGGACCAAGAGGCAACACTCAAGCTGAAAAGAGATTTCGAGACTAATTTAAATCCAAGCCACCGGTAGTTTTGATCTAGTTAAGCCCCAAATAGGAGAAAACAAAACAGAAAAGAAAATGATGTAAAATTTGATAAACGAAGAAGGCGATGTCTCTTGCAAATAAAACCCAGTATCAGGAAGAAAGACTAGTATCCTGACGTGCTTTTTCGTCCTTCATAAACAATGAACTATGCAACAAGCCTAGCAGGTGATTAGGCGCATTTTAGTGAGTCACCTTGTAAGAGAGAGCATGTAAACACATGGTGAGTTCATCAGAAGTTGGATCTCTCCTCTGTATCTGGCATTCACTACAGTCATCGTCATAGTACAGTTCTGTGTTTTTCTCTTCGTTATCTATACAAGACTGAGATTCCGCGCTGACACTATCTTTATTTCCAGTGCAGTGGCGCCTCAGTGATTCATTTTCAATGTTAGTGACTGCTTCGTGTTTCATATTGCTTGAGTTTTGTTGATGTTGGCGAGAAAGGTCTTCTTCACGAAAGGTTCCGCTCTCAGCGTTTATGATGTTTGAAGATTTAACAAGCTCTGCAATCACCTACATTTAAAGCACCAGTAGAAACAAAACTAAAAAATTAGAGGCCATTCACTGATGTGAAAAAAGCGAAAGACCAGTTGAATTACGTTTCTGAATTTCTATATAAGCAGAATTGCATTCCCAAAAGAAATCACCAGAGAAAGTTGAAAAGACATCGCACGAAGCCAAGAAACTCGTCCTCAAGCACTCATAAAGACCTTGGGTCATCTTTTAAATTCACTCACTGGTCATTTCTATTTAACAAATAGATTTTATGTTGAGGTTCATCTGTTCATCAAAGATCATTGCTGACGGCAAAATGCATTTGGAAGAAAAAGGAGCAAACAAGCCGTAGGCGAAGGTGTCACTGACGTCCTTGCTACATCTGACGTCTTAGAAGTAACAAAATAAACATAAGCAATGTAATATTGAACAGGAACCGGTACGATATATGTAACCTTTGTCGATGATGATGCCATGCATGATTTTGTCTTTCAACAGGTCATACACAAAATATATATTCAGTATACTTTTATATATAAAACTAAGAATTGACTTCAAAAAAGCATTTCTTACCTGACGTACCAGGCGATCGGACACCCCACCTCTACCCCTGAGGGGTCCCCATGACTGGTGGTTATATATTGGATCATTTACAATTGGATAACCAAGCCACTGAAGATGAACACGGATTTGATGCATCCTGCCTGTATGTGGGACACCTAAAAACAACAACAAAAACACCTTGTTGGTAGCATTACTAAAAAAAGAGGCGGAGAACCATAACCACGTACCTAGTGCAGTCAACTGAGTTGGTGAATGCCCATAAAATTCTCTTCCCGAACTAACCTCTACAACACATCAAAACGTTAACAGCAATGCTAACAGCCCAGAGGTAAAGAGGAAATGCATCTATTCAGTCTATTTAGTTTGAATGAATTGTATGAATTACTTTCAACGAGCCATCACAATCAAATTGTCCAGAGATTACTTTCTTGACCTTGATAAACGGTGTAGAGGTAATCGGTTCACCAAGAGCAAAAACAGCTTTGACCACACAAAAGAAAATCCTAACCAACCACCATTTAACAGAAGTAAATTTGAACTTGTGATAGCTTATCAGTTTTCTGGGTTTTTTGACTAATACTAGTGAATAACAAATCAGTTTATCAAACTGAATGGCTTTTCAGTTATTAACCATATGACTTTAAACATTTGCATATCTTCACAATTATTACTTACTTTTCACAATACTTGTCTTTCCATCATAGTTGAGCCTTTTAAAAACAGTTCTACATGGCTTGCCCTCACTTGTACAAACTCGGCACACACCAATCTTGTGTGTAACAACTTTTATTGGCTCCTCACACACAACTTCCTCACTAAAAACAAGGTAAAAGTTCTAAACCTTCTCTTTGTCTAAGCAATCACTTAACCTGCAGACAGTATTGTTTCGGCCTTCTGGGCCTCATCAGTAGAGTGCTGATGCTAGGATGGGGGAGAACCGATATGGATCCCCAAACGATCCCACACTCGTGGTATCGTCTATGTAATTGTAAAGATTCTCGAGGTTGCTTCTTACTCAATTCTTAAACACCTACAGGAGTGGCGCGGTGCGAGATATTCGAACTCCACTTGATAGATTCAAATTGATTTAATGACAGATCAAGCCCATAGATCTAGTTCACAGTTCATGGCGACTGACGAAATAGCGAAAACCAGTAGATCGCGCGTGGTGCAAGTAGATGTAGTAGTCGCATAAGTTGATGTAGCAATCATATAAGTACGTTCGAACTGAAAGGCGATAGTTAAGAATACGTTCCCGTCGATAAGGCATAAAATACAAATATAACAGAATAGAACACTCAATAAACTAACGAGACCATAGCGTGTAACAGATGTGACAATTGATACTTGTACTAGTAAACTGAGGCGATAACAACTGTTTTCGTAACGACCGAAGATATCGACGGCTATCTTGCAAACAGCTAAACATAGCGTAAAAGAATCACAACTTGGCAAATAAAACTTACGCACTTTGGTTGACGACTCGCACCAAAAGGTAAGAGAGGGACAGGGAAATACACTAGAAAAGGCAGCAACATGGATCCTCCGATCGTAGCTCAGTAGCGGTGTAACTTCACTAACAATCTGTGACTAAAAGAAGTTGGGCTTCGTTTTTTATTGGCTATGCTACGTGAAAAAACTAGGGCGTTGTGAGGAACGTGGCGCCTACAATAGAGACTATTTCCTTGCGGAGAAATTCTAGAACTATTACATACGTGCAAAGTCACGATTCCATGAAAGCTTTGATTTTGAAATCACGTACTTGACTGGAATAATAACTGTTAATAAACCGGTAGGAAGTTCATAGGAAATTAACGATAGGCGTTTCAAACTAACAGTCTAAGCCATGCCAGTGTGCTCAAATTAGAAGAGCCTAGTGAGCTATGCACAATGCTAGCGGCGATGACTCATCCCACAGTGCTCAATTTGGACATGAAAGCAGAGCTTTCTATGCCAAAGAGCTATATCTATATAGTATGTAAACGATTATTTAGGAAAATAAAAATTAAAACTTGATACTACAGATCTGTTTCGAAAGGAAAAGTCCTCTCTCGTCAGGTGGACCACCTGAAAAGGAAAAGTCCTCTCTCGTCAGGTGGTCCACCTGACGAGAGAGGACTTTTCCTTTCGAAACAGATCTGTAGTATCAAGTTTTAATTTTTATTTTCCTAAATAATCGTTTACAAAGCTCCATATGATTGTAGAGCACTCTGCGATTCAAAGATAAGGTTTTTTACATTTTTACATTTATATATATATATATATATATATA